TTTATTTATTTATTTATTTATCATACCTTCGATGAATAAAAATTAATAATTTTTTTTATTAAAAAAAAAAAACTAAATAATAATAATAATAATAATAATAAATTATTTATTTTTTTTTTAGCCCATAAATTATTTTTTACGGAGAAGTTTTTTTTTTTTAATTAAAAAAAAAAAAAATAAATGTTCTAGAACTTTAATCAAATACACAAAACTTCTCCATTTACAAATAAATAAATAAATAAATAAAATGACAAAAAAATTATTTATTTATTTATTTTATTTATTTATTGATTATGTTTAATTAAATATATGTCTAAAACAGCCTTTAAATTATTTACAAGTACGTGAAAAAAAAAAAAAAAAAAAAAAAAAAAATTATTTATATGTATATAAACGTTTTTGTGTCATAGGTAGTAAATGATGATGATGATGATGATAGTCAATAACGAAATTTACAGATTTAAAACAAAAAATAATAATAATAATAAGATAAGATAATAATAATAATAATGATAATGATGATAATAAATCTAATAATCTACAAATGAATAAATATTTATTAATTATATAATTTCAAAACTACTACAATTAATTTTAATTATTATTATTATTATTATTATTATTATTGTTGATTTATTTTTTTTTATATTAAACAAATCTGTACACGTATCATCATTTGAGCCATTTTTCGCGGGTGTAAGGGGGGGGGGGGGTTGTGAGTTATTTTGACGCAAATTTCACAAAAAAAAAATTCGATTTAAATTTTACGTAAACTATTATTATTATTATTATTATTATTATTAAATAAAAAATCATTTATTTATTGTAATTATTCAAATAGCTCAAATTAATTATTAAAAAAAAAAAAAATTACAACAAAATAATTTTTGAGATTCGACAAAAAAAAATTTATTTAATAATAATAATAATATTATTATACATTTTTCCGATTTTTTAACAAATTTATTATTATTATTAATAATTATTTATTATTATTATTATTAATTATCATCAGCCTTGTACTTATTGCGACGATCGCTAATTCATCGCTTAAAATACGATTAAATAACGCGAATTTGTTTTTTTTTTTTTTTCTTATTAAAATATATATTAAATATACATAGATATTTAACTTACGAGAAAAAAAAGACGGGGGGAGGGGGGTAAAACATTCGTTTTATTTCCGTTTATTATTTTACAATTAAAAAAAAAAAAAAAAATTTCTTGCTTTTTTTTTTTTCTCTTAACTATAAAAATCTATTTGACAAAAACTATACGTATTATAAATTTATTATGATTTTTTTTTTATTTATTATTATTTTTAAACGCAAAAAAATAAAAATAATAATAATAATTGTAATTATTATTATTATCATCATCGATTCCATTCGGTAGGCAATCAATTAAATTAAATAAACAATTTAAAATAAAAGAATAAAAAAATGAAAAAAAAAAAAAAAAACAAATTTCAAACTTTTTTTTTCATTTTTTTATTCTTTTATTTTATTCACTTTTTTCAATTCTTTCTCTCTCTTTCTCTCTCTTTTCATTTTTAACAATAAAATTATTTAAATGAGAACAAAAAAAAAAAAAAAATGATTTCAGTCAGTTTGAAAAAAAAAGTAATAATAATAATAATAATAATAATAATTATTATTAAAAATAAAAAGAAAAAAAAAAAAAAAACGTTAACGTAAACCCCCTAAACGCACACATCAAAATATTTATCTAAAAAAAAAAAAAAAATTTGGAGGACTTTAATTAAATTAAATGCGTCAATATAAATATTTTTTTTTCTTTTTTTTTTTTTTTTTAATATAAATGATCGTCATCATCATCATCGTATGTACGTAACATACTCGCTCGCTCGCTCGTGTATGCGTGTGTATGCGTGTATGTATGCATGTAAAGTAGATTTAAATTTATAGTAAAAAAAAAAAAAAAAAAAAAATTATTTAAAAAAAAAAAATAGTAATAATAATAATAATATTAATAATAAGGATTTCTAAGGGCTCAACGCCTCGTCGATTATCCAATCCGAGTCTTCTTCGCTGTAATCCTGAGTTTCCACGTATTCCCCCCCATTTCCTCCGTATTCTTCCTCTTCGTAACTCTCGAGCCTTTTCCTTTTCCTCATCATCATCATCCCGTTTTTCTTTTGCCTTTTCAACTCCAAATCTAATTCGTCTTCTTTTGTTCGTTCTTTTTTAAATTCGTAGACTAGGGGATATATGTGTTCGATTGCTGCTGCGATTGACGATACACAGGGAGCTGTAAAGTGATGATAAAAACCTTGTTTAAAATTTTCCTCTTGTTTTTCTCCCTCTCTCCCTCCCCCTCTGCCTCTCTCTCTCTAAATTATTACCTGTGACAGTTATGCTTCCCGTTGAAAATATTTTTAATGTTGCTTTGGGGTCCTTCAATCTATAAGTTACGCCCGGATGAATTTCCGGTTCATATCTTTAATAAATAATAAATAAAAAAAAATTAAACGTGAATCTTCCATACGACAAGACTCTACTACATTTCCATTTTTATTTATATAATTAAATAAAGTTTTCTTACTCTGCTTGTTTAGGATATTTGGCTGAAAAAGAATTAATTTTAATACCGAACGGCATGGAACACGTTCCGAGAACATTAACGACTCTAAAATTATTAAAACGAACTTCGAATCCCAATTTTTGCAAACTTCTTGCAAAACGTCGGGCGGCTATTTTGGCATTATCCTCGCTTGTGGCACCCGTACATGTGATTTTCCCAGATGACCATATTGAGGCAGTCGTGTAGGGTTTTCTTAATTTCATCGTCACCATCTGAAAATAGTTTTAATTTTGTAAATGAGGTGAGATTTTAAATTTATTCAAAAATTGACAAAAAATTATATATATATAAAAATCAAGGATATCAATTAATTTTTCTAATAAAATCCGTTTTAATAATTCCCTTTAAAATTTTACTTTCGACTTCAATTAGAACAATTGTAGGCCGTTAAAATCAAATAAATCATTTAATGAGCATTCCCCTCTAAAAAAAAAAATTTCAAATTTTTTTTTCCATTTTATTGCGATCAGCAGTGTTCAGCCGGGAATTTTTCAAAAACAACAAAACTAACAAATAAGAAAAAGAGAGGAAAGAAAAAAAACAACAACGCGGAAATTATTATTATCAACACTTAATAAGTAATTAAGAATGTATGAAATTAGTGCTGCGACATTTTCGATAAGTCGAGAGGAACGAGTAGGAGTTTCCTTTTTGTGGGGTGTTATTAAAATGTAAAATGAAATCATTCAAAACGTTTTGTACTCAAATTAAAACCCTAATAAATAATAATAATAATAATAATAATAATAATAATAATAATAATTTATAGGTTTAATCCTTGCTGGGTAAAAAAAAAAAAAAAAAAAAAAAAAATTCGTTATACTCCTCCTAGAAACGTTTTTGTGTCATAGGTAGTAGATGATGATGATGATGATGATAGTCAATAACGAAATTTACAGATTTAAAACAAAAAATAATAATAATAATAATAATAATAATGATAATGATGATAATAAATCTAATAATCTCCAAATGAATAAATATTTTTTAATTATATAATTTCAAAACTACTACGATTAATTTTAATTATTATTATTATTATTATTATTGTTGTTGATTTATTTTATTTAAATTTAACAAATCTGTACACGTATCTTCATTTGAGCCATTTTTCGGGGGGGTAAGGGGGGGGGGGTTGTGAGTTATTTTGACGCAAATTTCACAAAAAAAAAAAAAAAAAATTCGATTTATTTAAATTTTACGTAAACTATTATTATTATTATTATTATTATTATTATTATTATTATTATTATTATTATTATTATTATTATTATTATTAATAATAAAAAAATCATTTATTTATTTAAAATTTGTAATTATTTAAATAGCTCAAATTAATTATTAAAAAAAAAAAAAAATTACAACAAAATAATTTTTGAGATTCGACAAAAAAAAAAACAAAAAAAAAATTTATTTAATAATAATAATAATACACTTTTTTTCGATTTTTTAAACAAATTTATTATTATTAATTATTTATTATTATTATTATTAATTAATTATCATCAGCCTTGTACTTATTGCGACGATCGCTAATTCATCGCTTAAAATACGATTAAATAACGCGAATTTGTTTTTTTTTTTTTT